CTATAGTCAGCGATGGAGTCAGCTGACTATGCCGGGGCGCCGGCAACCACAGCCACTCGGTCTTGGAAGGGTTGAGTCTGAGTCTGTTCCTCCCCATCCAGACCCGTACGGCCTCCAGGCAATGGGTCATCACGTCAAGGGCATCGTTGGGGTGGCCTGGGGTGGAGATGTACAGCTGAGTATCATCAGCGTACTGATGATATTGCCTGTTCACCGCCCTGAGTCCCGCAAGGGAGATAGGGCGGTATATAAATTTAATAAATAATAATAAATAATAATAATGACAGCAAAGAAATATAATCCTTCCAATCACCACCACCCATCCTGTCAGAACTAATCCTTCCATCTCCCACACCATCCTGCCAAAACTGATGAAGCTTCTTGGATGAGAAGTGAAATATCTTCCTCAAGAAAAAAAAAACAGTCCAAAGCACCTTTGAGACAATTCTGAATATCAGGATCCAGAAGAAGAACCTTCTTTGCTGCAGCACCTGCCCTTTGTAACATCTTACCCTCTAAGATGTCCTAGCCTTCCCATCCTTCCCCAAGAGCCTGAAGACCTGGCTCTGCTGATTGGCCTGGGGATCAAATGGGGAAGTTCCACACTGGAGGTGGCTGCTGGATTGATAACAGACTCCACTTCCCCTCCTTGTTCTCTACTCTCCACCCATCCATCCTTTTGATGTATTCTCATTGTGTTCTTTTTCATTGTTTATTTTATTGTTCTATTATTTTACTTCTGTTCTGTTTATACTCTTTTCATTTCTTCCTTTTTTAAGCTACCTAGAGTAGCCCCACAGCAAGATAGATGGCAAATAAATTTAACAAACAAATGAGGAAAAACAAATGAAGGAAAACACATTGCACCTTAATTGTAACTTTTGTATGTTTGTTTTATCCTGCTTTATACTATAGTTGCTTGATAAGTCTTATTTCCCTATTTGATGGGGAAAGAGATTAGCATTGATCTGAGCTAGGAAACATGTTCTTGGCAGCCACAAAAAGAAGAGGCTCATGTTAATGTGAGACAAGCAAGAAAAAAACAGACAGCCAAGGCATTGCCAAGGAATTCAAGAGAACTGGCATAGTGAAGGATATTGAACTTTTCAATAAGTTCCATAAACCTATTTCCATAAATCATTCCAAGNCCTTTATGAAACAAGAGAGGAGCAACCAATCTCTGTCAATCCTCTTCTTCTCTTGCTGGCCCAGATGACCTTCCAGTTCCAAGGAACAGCTTTTCAGGAGGTTGAGTATGCTGCATGTAAAAGGAGAAATTGCAGCTGCCTTCTTGGTCATTTCCAATAAGCTAAATGTCACTCACTATCTTACCTTCAGTTTACAAATAGGTAATTAAAAGATATAGAAACTGTTAATAAGCCAATTCATCATATTAATATTGGTAGTCCTCAACTTACAACCATTTGTTAAGTGATCGTTCCAAGTTACAACAGTGCTTTAAAAAGTAATAGTGACAGTTGCGTTGGTGTAGGGTCATGTGATTACCATTTGCAACCTTCCCAGCCAACCTCTGTCAATGGGAGAAGCCAGATTCACTTAACAACTGCGTGATTCCCTTAACAACTGCAGTGACTTGCTTAACAATTGTGGCAAAAATGGGGCACCACTCACATAATAACTGCCTTGCTTAGCAACAGAAAATGTGGGCTCAACTATGGCCATAAGTTGAGGATTGCCTGTATTTCAAAGTAATAACAGCTCATAAAAGACTAGCAAGTAGGTAACTTAGTAAAACATAATCTATATAAATAAAATGTAAATGTTCATTTGTTCAAAATTTTAAATCTCCGAAAGTTCGTCACCGATTGCTTTGAAATTTTGACACAACGTTGCATTCGAATACGCGCGTGTTTTTATATACCTATATTATATAGATGTCACACATGTGACAGGTAAAAACAATCTTTTTTTGAAAAACAGTGCCATCTGTTGGACATAAAAGCAACACACGGTTTTACCAGACTGAGCCACAGCAACACGTGGTCGGGTACAGCTAGTCATTAATAAAAGCCAAGTTGAATAGGAGTCACTTAGTCAAATTTTAAGAGGATTTCTTTGATATTTATGTAGTGATCCAGATTCAATTGATCTTTGAACGTCAACTTTGAAGCTCAGCATAAGTATCTGAAACGGGATTCTTCCCCATGAGACCTGCAGTAGATTTTAGCTGAATATGTAGGCTATAAGTTGGCTGAAAGTCATTGGTGTGTAAACCAAATAAATAAAATATATATTTATGGTATATATGCATAAACACACATGCAAAATCTAATATATATTTTTCCAAAACCTTGTTTCATTTTGGCTAGACCTAGGCTCTTATGAGTATACTGAATGTTTATGAAATATATATACATAGTGGAGATGCAGTCTTTTGTGGTAGGGCTTATATTGTGACTCTCCTGCAAAGTCTGAATATGGTTGTGAGCCTTTTTATTATTATTATTTCAGAGTGTTAGAAAGAGAAAATGTCCTTATCTTTTGATGAGGATCACAATGTGTAAATGGCTTACACCTTTGCTTCTTTGTTTCTCTGACCTTCTGCTTTTCACTAGTCCAGAATACTTTGCTTACCTCCACTCGCAGGCACATAATTTTCTCTGTGTCTTCTGGCAGCAAGAAGAAGGTGTTAAGTTTCTGCACTTCCTACCATGAGCTTTCAAAAAAAGAGTGACGAATCTGTGGCCTGCAAATGTGGCCAGAAGTTAGAGATAGTGGTAGTTGTAATTCAGCAATCTCTGGGGTGGTGTTAAGTCCCCACTCTCTCTTTAAAGTTCCCCAGGTTGGGGCACAATTCTTTTTCAGTTATTGGTGGTGTCGTTCGACCTTCACTTAGACACTGTTTTTCTATATCCTAATTTTCGTGCTGTTTGACTGCTCTGCAGCTGCATAGTAGTTATTCCTTGGTTGTGGAAGCAAAAGACCTTAATGGAAAAGAACATGGGAATGGTCAAGTGACTAGCCTACAGATCAAGATTCTGGATGTTAATGACAATATCCCTAAACTTAGCAAGTCTGTGGTGAGTAAAAAGTGTGCTTGCTATTATTTGGATGGGTTTTTTTCAGTTATGATCAGAAAGATGTATTATTATAAAAAGGCTTGTTTATTTACAGTTTGAAGGAAGTGTAAAGGAAAATATAGCTAATGTGGAAATCATGCGCTTGGACGTCTTTGATGGAGATGAACAATTTACTGATAACTGGCTGGCAAACTTTGTGATTGTGTCTGGCAATGATGGAGGCTTCTTCCGTATAGAAACAGATTCACAAACCAACCAAGGAATTCTTACTCTGATTAAGGTTAGTGGACGGGGAGAGACTGTATGCTTGCCACATTGACCTCAATCCAGTGATGGTACCCAGCAAAAGAAGAGGACAATGGGAGCACACAGCATAATGGGCAAATTGATGTGTTCTGTATGAGTATTCTGCATAGATTGCTATAACCTCATTTTAACATATCTCTGCCCCCGTTTTCATTATGATGAGATTTTATAGTATGGTAGGAATGTTTTGCCCATAAAATAGTTGTATTCTGTATGTCCACCTACAACACATACCCACAAAGAGCATTTGTTAGTTCAGATTCTCATATTTCATAATAATTTAAATAGTTCATTTTCTGTTCCACAAATTACATTACAATTCTTGTTTTATTTTAAAACTGTGGGATAATATAGCATCAGTTTTTTTATAACCATTGTCAAGCTGAGCCGTTTAACAAGCAGTTGGAAACTGTTTCATCCCCTGCTTTCATAGTTTATTTATGCCCATGAATAAGGGCATAAATAAAGGGCATGAATAAGGGCATATCAAACAATGCCTTGGTAAGGCCACACTTGGAATACTGCGTCCAGTTTTGGTCACCGCAATGTAAAAAAGATGTTGAGACTCTAGAAAGAGTACAGAGAAGAGCAACAAAGATGATTAGGGGACTGGAAGCTAAAGCATATAAGGAACGGCTGCTGGAATTGGGTATGTCTAGTTTAATGAAGAGAAGGACGAGGGGGGACATGATAGCAGTGTTCCAATATCTCAGGGGCTGCCACAAAGAAGAGGGAGTCAAGCTATTTTCCAAAGCGCCTGAAGGCAGGACAAGAAGCAATGGGTGGAAACTAATCAAGGAGAGAAGCAACCTAGAACTAAGGAGAAACTTTCTGACAGTTAGAACAATTAACCAGTGGAACAACCTGCCTCCAGAAGCGGTGAATGCTCCAACACTGGAAGTTTTTAAGAAGAGACTGGACAGCCATTTGTCCGAAATGGTATAGGGTTTCCTGCATGAGCAGGGGGTTGGACTAGATGACCTCCAAGGTCCCTTCCAACTTTACTACTACTACTATTACTAAGGGTAAATAGAGGTTCCTAACTCAATTGCTTGATTTGTCTGTTTTTTAACATAAGGTCTAGTTATGCTTTGTTCTCTTCTGTGCCTTGATCTCCATTTGATACAGTGACATGAAAACTCAAGAATCTTTTCTGCTCTTTTTATATTGAACTGACTCTTAACTTTGAATGGATTTTCAAGGGTGTTTCATATCAAATAATATTGAAGATGCAATAGTAAACTTCCACCAAAAGTCCAGAAGGATATGCAAGTGGGTTAATTGCAATTACATTCTAAATTATGACTTTTTAATTCTCTCTGCAGGAAATAAATTATGAAGAATTGCGGACAATGGACCTGAAGATAACAGTTTCTAACAAAGCAGCATATCACAAATCAATTATTAGTCAAGTTTCCCAAGCAAAACCAGTTTCTATTAAAATTAATGTGGAAAATGTGAGGGAAGGCCCCGTATTTAAGCCCCAAACTTTAGTGATTAAGACAAGTGGAATAATGAAAATAAACCAAATTATTGGAAGTTTTCAAGCTTATGATGAAGACACTCAAAAAATAGCAGAACGCATCACGTAAGACTTATTTATTTATTTATTTATTTATAAGTATACTTATATGCCTCTCAACTTCCAATGACTCTGGGTGGCGCACAACAATCAAGAGTTACTGTAGAAGGAGAACATTCTGTGCCTATGTGCTTTCAATATGCCAGACATAGTTTCACTACTGTCATGTTCCAACATTGCTCATCCTTTTATTTATGCTGAAAAGAGAGATGCAATTTATACCTTATGCTTCCCAGTGTGTTTTGTTTTAAATTTCTTTGCAGTGACAGCTTTGGATAATAAACACACAGTATAGATATACTGTATGTATATTTATATAGCCTTCCAAAGTTGCTTTTTGTGAGATAGGCAGCCATATAAATATTATTAATAAATAAATACTGAAAAAGTTAATGTTCACATGTCATCTTAAAGCATGATTTTGCACATTGTTTGTTGAATAAACTAGAGTTAATGCAAAAGAACAACTCAGAAATTATTTCTTGGGCCAACTTCTGATTGGTTTTCCCATTAAACTGTCCTCACTATGTCCCTTTGTTGATTGGCTAAGAGATTTGAACAGGGCACAACTAGAAATACACAAGAATAAGTGTATTGAGATTTGACTGCTATTTATTAACAATTATTTGGGTATTATTAACTATGAATAGAAATATGATAAGTAGATGTTTAAAAAGTTTGTATGTCTCCTAAGAAGTATATATTTCCATATGTATGCGTAATCTCAGGTTTGTATGCTTATTTTCACATATGTTTAAAATTTACACAGTTATGCCAAGGGAAGTGATTTTGCAAACTGGTTGACAATAAATGCTAAAACAGCTGAAATCAGACTAATTAAAGTCCCAGACTATGAATCACCCTATGTCATCAATGGTACTTACACTGCAACAATTTTGGCCATAAGTACTGGTACGTAGTGAATATTTTCGTTGTACTTTATAATGGTTGTTAATTACCAAGAGTTGTAAGATCTGGTGGAGACTATACTTTTTAATGATCTATAGTACCCTGCCTTACTCTTTTTCTTTTCTCTTTTTTAATTTTTTTTTAGGGAGGGTGTAAAAAAGCTTTGGCAAAATGCCAGCAAGTGGAATAGAGAAAGCAGGGGGGGGGGGAACCAATATTCCTACTCTGAAGAAATTAGTGCTTGTCTTAATTTCATCAAACCACGGCCAAACTAATGACCTAGTATCCTGTTTAGATGAACAAATAAGATTAAGGTTATACAACATCTAAACATCTTGTCATGCTAAGCCAGAAGACTGATCATTTCTGCATCAAGATTAGGTTCCAGTAACTCAGAACAACTACAAATTACGGTAGTTTTGAGTCATTTACTTTAATCTGGTTACCTTAGACACAAAACCAGAGAAGAGATTTAATGTAGGGCAATTTTCTTTTCCAGCTACCGGCAGAAAAATCAGTGCCTGGAGTGATTTTCAGTATGAAATTTCTTTAAGCTTTCCATTTCTTTTTAAGAGCTTTCTTTCTTTCCATTCTTGGTGAATGTGCAGGTTTTAAATAGGTACAGAAAATGGTTGAGAAAAGTATTAATCTCATTCTCCATATATGCTGCATCTGACTCTATTTTTCTTAAATTGCGTCCCACCCTCACCCCATGGTAGCCATCCAATTTCCACAAAAGAGGCAAGGATGCTGGAGGAATAACTAGGGCCTTATAACCAAGGCAGATTTGGAGTCCATTGGTCATCTGCCACTGCATTACCATCTGAATCCCTTCCTTGAAAACAAAAGCAGACTAGTCCATCACATCATGCACAATCAGAATCACAACATTCTGCTTATTGGAGCAAAGTTACTTTTCCCTTTGAATAAATTCGTAATGCAATCATACACCTTTTATGTCATGTGGAATATCTGGCGCGTTCTTAGTACTAAGTGGATGCAGGAGCAGAGGCTGTAGTGAAGCTGGTGCATTGTTACAGTGAGAGCTACGAATCTAACACTGATCACAATCCAATCTGAGGCTCTGGGTTTTTGAATAATTGCCTGATTAACTAACAAAGACCTTAAGAGTGAAATAATACTGCAGGTAATCCTTGAGATATAACCAGCCGCTTAACGGCCATTCAAAGTTACAAACCCCACCCCATCAAAGCTCATTATAACCCTGTTTCAAACTTACAGTGGCTGAAGCAGCCCAGCAGTCATTCACCCTTATGAATGTTAAGCAAAGGTCATTAAGGACGGCTGTCTCACTTAATAGTTGTTACCGCGTGTAGGCTCCATTAAAGTCATAGGTCAATGACTACCTATATAGCAGTGACCCCCAAAATTTTCATAGGTATGAATTGTTTTTTTACATTCAATTTAACTATGTAATCTAGTGAATTATAAACTCCTCATAATTCAAACACTGGGTTCACATTTAAAATCTTGTATATGCTTAAAAAAGGAAACAAGTTTCTAATTAATCAACGTTTTGCATAACAATAGATGTTTGTTCCTTCTGTGCTTTATAGACTACCCTCCAAAAACAGCTACTGGTACCATCACTATTCAGATTGAAGACAAGAATGATCACTGCCCAATTCTTGTGACTCCAAAAACAACTGTCTGTACTGATGCAAAGTATATTAATATCACTGTTGAAGATCGAGATAGACATCCAAATGCTGGTCCTTTCACTTTCATGGTCATTGATGAACCTGAAAGAATGTCAGACAAATGGAAAATTGGTCAGATAGATGGTAAGTGTGAGTTGTGCCACATCAAGATTGGAGCAGCTCTGAAGCTACAGAGTTTATGAGAGCAGAGCTTGTGGCTTGGTTTCATATCACGCTGAGCAGTCATGTGGTTAGATTGGCTTTAGCTTAGCTGACATACATGAACCCAATTATTGTAATTTGTAAATCTCATGAAGGATGCTAATTTAGCATTGCATGAACGTAATCCATGGCAAACATTTCATTAGTAGATGGTAGTTTGCTGCCTCACCTCCTGGAGGTGAAAGAGAGAGAGAGAGCACTATTAGAATTCTAGCTCAGTAAAGAACTACGTATATGAACAGTTGTGACCCAGTTAGTATCATATGAGCTGCCATAACCAATGCGGTTGTAAGTAACTAGCAAATTGAACTTCATCTTGCTGAGCCTAAAACATCTTATATTGAACAATTGAGACAGAGATTTGTCCAGTGATAAACTGCTGCCTCTTTTTATCCTGATGAATGCATTGTACTAATCCTAAATAAGGTTGGTTTGGTTTTGATTTAAGACATTATATAAAAACAACTAGCAACTGTGATTTATAAACCACCATTTTTGATTTAGCATATTGTTTGAATATAGCCGTGTATGGTTTGTTCAGCAAAGCATAGCTAAATACAATGTGGGAATCCATCTTTTGTTTTGATTTGGATAACCAGATCTCATGCCAAAGAGCTGCAGATCTGTACCTCTGCAGTATAACTTTTCTTCTACAAAAGTGGACCAAGAAATGTTCCTGATTTCCTTTCTGCTCCAAAGAATTGGCAGTCAAAGTCAGGGGAGAAATATTAATGGTGCTGCTTCATTGTAGATTAGACCAGATGCAATTGCATCCAAGTGGAGGGATTCTTTCTGGTAAATACGAATGAAAGTGGGCAACATGTTTAGCACCAGTTGCAAAATAAAATGGAAGTAGGTTTAGGAGGGCGGCTCAAAACCTTCAAGCTCCACAGCTAGGAAATGTTTTCATGATTAACTGAATTGCCTTGAATGGATTGAATATATTGTGGAGGTGGAATTACCAAGTAACATGTCGATGACCCAGAAAATTGTTGCTTTGTACAGAATGTGCAGTTTTCCAAAACACTGTGCAGTAGTTACAGAATCTAGAAATGAATTGTTGTCTCCTGATAAGAATGCTTTCTTTTAGAGTAGCCGCTCCTAACTTGGGTGTGCTTTAGAAGCACAGATCAGCTCCCAGAGTTCCTGTTAATGAACAGGAAACCTGAGGGTTAAAGTATGAAAGGTTGGGGAAGACGGCTTTAGCTATCAGAATGGTAACCCCAAAAGTAGCAAGACTTCTGATTTCATTCCTTTCTCTACTACATTGCTGAACACTGTTATTTTTGTTTTTCTCCTTCCCTACAAAGGGTCCAGAGCTCAGCTTATGCTTCAGGATATGACACCTGGTATATACAAAATTCCTATTTTAGTGAGAGATAACCAAGGCCTCAGCTGCCCTGACCAACAAGTTCTGGAGATGGAAGTTTGTAATTGCAAGGATGGCGCTGGTTGCCAAGAAAGAATTATCAGCTCCTCTATCTTTCTGGGACCTGCTGCAGTTGCACTGATGATCTTGGCATTTTTGCTACTACTCCGTAAGTTTTTAATGTTATTTCATAATGTCTAGAACAGGGTTGTGCAACCTTGGCACCTTTAAGACCTGCGGACTTTAACTCCCAGAATTTCCCAGCCAATATGGCTGGCTGTGGAATTCTGGGAATTAAAGTCCACAGGTCTTAAAGTTGGCAAGATTGGACACCCTTCATCTAGAGCAATGGTCTGCGGCCGACTGCCGTGCCGTGGGCTACTGACCACTGGGCTGCGGGACAGGTTGGCCAGTGTGCACACGTGCGCACGCTCACCCCCACTCACACTAGAGCCCGCAGACCCATTTGCACATGTGCACGGGGCTAGCAGTGGCAGTGGCTAGCGCCTGTGCTCATGCGCAAATGGGGCTGCTAGTGGGCACGGGTTGCACAGCCTGTTTGCACATGCATGCGGCGCTAGCAGAGGCAGTGGCTAGCTCATGCATGCATATGCAAATGGGTTGCTAGCACCATACAGGGTGCATGGCCCATTTGTGCATGCGTGCAGCACTAGCAGAGGCAGCAGCTAGCGCCAGCGTTCATGCGCAAATGGGGCCGCTAGCACCATGCGGGTTGCATGGTCCATTTGCACATGCGTGCAGGGCTAGCAGCAGCTAGCACCTGCACACATGCGCAAACGGGGCTGCTAGCGCCATGCATGTGCACACAGCCCCGTTTGCACGTGGCCCAATTTGCGTGCGCATGTACGTGCGTGGACCCACAAATTTCCCACCTGCTCCCTTTCCCTCCGGGCTGCCAGCATGAAAAGGTTGGTGACCTCTGATCAACATAAGCAGGACTCTTGACACAAAGACTCCTTCATATGAGAGCTTGCAAACATTTCGCTTCATTTGAAAAAAAAGACTGTAAAGTTATCCAACCATAATTAATTCCTACTGAAATAGATTTTAAGAAATCCATTTTTTTATTTGTTGCATATAATATGAAATGGAACATTTAAAAAGGCATTAAAATGTTAAGAGTGTTTTTTTTTCTTGTTATTCCTGTCTGTTTAGGAGCTGGTGTTCCTCTTTCACTTTGATTGTTGCTCAAATTCTCTTTAGCTTTCTTTTTAAGAAAACCTTACTGGCAGCCAAGAAGCTTCCAAACATGGAGTAAGAAGGTCAAATTAGAGCAGAATGTTTGTATGTATACATGTATATACACACTCAGACCTGACCTTATCTTGCTACTACCAAATATAGATATATTTGCTTACTTTTTCAAAAAGTTAGGGCTTCGAGGTGCTTGTTTTTACACCTAGCAACACGTTCTGTGTCAGTATCTTGCCAGTCTGGAATGTGCACAAACCTGAATATATAAAACTCACTAAAAAAAACAAGCAAGATAAAAAGAGATACGATAGTGGTGGATGCTCTGTCCTTATTAGACTGTTAAAAACTGTTGAGCTGGTAAAAAAGAAAGATCAGAGCTGAGCTGGAAAGGTGCCTGTTTATCATTGTGTAAGTAACTCATCTCTCCTGGAAATGTTTAATAATTTTGTTCTGATTGTGAAATGTTTGAGATGGATCGGATTGCACATGCAGATATACTCAATATTTTTTCCCCTAGCATTTGATCTTTGTTGCTCACTATTGTGCTGTGTCCCTTTGCAGTCGTGCCTCTCTTACTGCTGGCCTGTGGCTTTGGATCAGTCTTTGGATCAGGCGGTGGAAAAGGATTTGCAGCTATACCTGACAACAGTGAAGAAATATTGCGTAACTGGAACAGTGAAGGAGCAGCACCTGAAAATAAGGTACGGTATATTGTATTTTGCCTTTTCTTTCCCTTACTTCAGTTTCCCATTCCTTGGGAACGTGAAGAGGAAAGTAAAGGATTAATTCATCCAGGGCAGTGTTTTTCAAACCTGGCATCTTGAAGATGTGTGGACTTCAACTCCCAGAATTCCCCAGCCAGCATCTTAAGGTTGCCAAGATTGAAAAACGTACTGATTTAGAGCAATGTGAATTTCCAAGGCCTGCAGTCATAAATGTGTTGACTTAGTAAGTCCCATTTAAATCACTGGATTTAGACTGCAGTCATAATCACACTTACTAGGAACTCAAGTCAAATCAATTGCTGAATCATGCTGCATAAAAATGTCCTATTGGTTTCAGGTCAACATAAGCAGCATGCGAGAAAGAGATTCCCCTTTTGTTTTTTCTGGTGTAACTTCAAAAAACTGTGCTTCTCCAAATTTGTTTCTACCTGCTGTTCTCCAAACCATGTACTTTTAGGATAGGCTTGAGTGGAACACACAACATAGAATATTCTTTATTGGCCAAGTGTGATTGGACACATAAGGAATTTGTCTCCGGTGCATAAGCTCTCAGTATACATACAAGCAACGAAGTGATAAATCATAAATCATAAGATACAACCAATAAAGTGATAGTCATAAGATACCAACAGGAGTAGCTAATAGGAAATATGAGAAAGATAATGGTAATATAGTCCTACTACATATTAGTAATACAATAATAAAATACTAATACAGTCCTACATGGCAGCCATAGTTTAGAACCCTGGATTTCCTGCTGGTGTATTATAAACCTTTCCTTTTTCTCTGAGCAACAAGTACCAAGCCATGGCAATAGCAAATTCACTTGGCAATCTAGCAAAGCCATTCTTGTCATGATTTCAGTGCTATTCCTTCCAGGCCCATCTTTGCTTTTTAATTGTCGCCTTTGATGTTAGGCAATCCTAAACCTCCTTACTTCCTCTGGATCGGAAAAGTATGTGGGCAGTGGAGCAGCAGGAGCAGCAGCAGCAGCAGCAGCAGCAGCAGCAGGAGCAGCAGGAGCAGCAGGGAGTGGCTTCTCTATGATCAAGGAGCAGAACATGAACAGCAACACAACCACAAGATGGCAGAGAGAAGAGCGAGAAGCCCTTCTTTCTGGGGCAGAATTTGCAGGTGCCTCAGCCACAGGGGCGGGCTTGACAGCAGGTGAGACAATGCTGCTAGGAGCTCGCAGAACTTTAGCCATGGATACTGGCATGATCATGAATGAAGAATTCTTACGGGGTTACTTCAGTGAGGTAAGAGTCTACTTTCTGAATTCACTTTATTGATCAACATTTTCTACTCTTTGATGATATGTATATATTCACATGGGATTTATCAAATTTCCAATTTTTTCCCTTCGTGCTTGATACAACCATAATTCCTTATCATTCAAATCCTAAAGCTTTGGTCCACTAATTAATTTTCTATAACAGTAGTTCTGAGAGGGCTTAAGGTGGGTATGAAGTTTTTGCTATTCTTCATTGTTGAATCTGGCCCTCTCCTCTTCCTCCATGACTTACTCCAGTTTCCTTAAACAGTTTTTGATTGCCCACGGTTTTGATAATTTTGGGTTCAGTTAGAAAATCAACAAAAACATGCCCAGATTCATGGTTTTCTCAGTCTTCTTACACTGTCCAGCATTGTATAGAGGCCAAGGTAAATGTTCGATTTCTGTAGGCATGGGAATCCCACTCTTCTTGTTTCTATTCTCTCCTCAACTCTTCTAGTTGTCAGTTCTTCAGGTTTCTACAACAACCACTCCAGGGTCTTTTCAACCACTTTTTCCTGTTTATCCTACACATCCTGTACTTAGTGCTCTTCCATTGACCTTTCTATCCGGGTCAGGTCAGAGTAGTAGCCCAAACCATTTGAAGAAAATACAGTTTAAGGACCCTCTCAAAGCATTATCTCCCCCCTCAAATAATATTAATCACTGATTATCATGATTACCAGCAATATTTTTAGTCATATATAAATAAAGGTGACTTACTAATTAATGTTTTGTTGGTTATATTTTAATTCATCAAATTTTTATATTACATAGATGAATAAACTTTAAAAACAGCTGGTCGTCAACTTACAACAGTTCATTTAGTGACCATTCAAAGTTACAACGGCACTGAGAAAAGTGACTTATGGCCATTTTTCGCAGTTACGACCTTTGAAGCATCCCCATGATCATGTGATCAAAATTCAGAATGCTTGGCAATTGGTTCATACTTATGACCGTTGCTGTGTCCCAGGGTCATGTGATCACCTTTTGCAACCTTCTGACAAGCAAAGTCAATGGGGAAGCCAGATTCACTTAACAACCAGGTTACTAACTTGCAATGATTCACTTAACAACTGTGGCAAGAAAGATCGTAAAATGGGGCAAGACTCACTTAACAAGTATCTCACTTAACAACAGAAAGTTTGGGCTCAATTGTGGTTGTAAGTTAGGACTATCTGTATAATTCAATCCTAAAGTTGCCACTATCACCAACCGAATATATGTCTTACCATTAACACATCTAAAAGGATTGCTTGAGGGGAAAAAGAGGGGAAGCTTATGAGGTAACTATGCAAGGGACTAAAGCTGACCTTTTTAAATCTACTGTCCTGGCATTCTGCTGCCAAAATATGAATGTGGAGATCCTTGTTCTTTTTGTCTGCATAGAATAGCTCTGGGTTGAAGTGTTCAACTTTGTAATATGAAAATATTATGTAACTCTTGTCTGATCTGTTCTAGGCATTTTAGGTAACAAAAATGGTAACTTCTGAAATGTGTGTGCTCATTATTCTTTTCCTTCCACATTTTAGAAAGCTGATGCTTTTGCTGATGAGGATGAAATGCTGCTTGCCAAAGATTGCCTACTCATTTACTCCCAGGAGGAAGAACACGATTCCCCTCATGGTTCAGTTGGCTGCTGTAGCTTTATTGATGGTGACTTTGATGAACATTTCTTGGATGACTTGGGAGACAAATTTAAGACCCTGGCTGAGATCTGCATGGGCAAAAACACAGGCCTAAAAGCAGAGCAGTTCAGCTCTCATACCCAGAACGATACAACCAATCCTGCAGTGAATGAATCTGGTCTACAGTACTCCCAACAGCAGAATGCAGTGAATGCTGAACACACCTACTCATCAGGGGCTGCCTACAACTTATCTGAACCTGTGAAAGGCTTTGGTTCAAAAACAATGACTGAGGAAACAATGACTGAGTCAACTGTTACAACTAAGTCTAATCTGCAACCAGTGAAGCGAATCCCAGACGCTGCGATTAGCAGTAGCAGCAATGTTGTAGTGACAGAAACATCATATGGGACGGTGCCATCAACAGTCATCCTCGACCCTCAGTTTAAGGAGAATGTGGTAGTGACAGAAAGGGTCCTTTCACCTGCTTCCAACTTGCAGGACATGTTAGAAATGCCTGCTGGCGTCTTCCCAGACCTCCCAGATTCAAAATATGTTGTTGTGAGGGAAAGGGAGCGAATCCTGGTGCCTAGTTCTGACTTAAAGGCTTCTGTAAGCATCCCCAATCTGTCAGAAGGACAGAATATATTAATAACAGAGAGAGTAGTGACACCAACTCCAGTTAGGCGGGCCACAGCTGAAACAGGCACGTTTCCTAACAATGAAAGGCAGGAAAAGATTTTAATCTCTGACTCCTTCTTTAACCAAAGTAGCCCACAGGAAGTGCTTCCCACAGGTTCAACCTTAAGCAAGTCCTCAACGGTCAAAAAAAAATATAGCTCTGTCCAATATACACGTTCATAGGTGGTGGATTTCCACCCATCACTTCACATGTACTATTAGGATTGATTGATTGTCTTCTCAGGAGCTTGAATATGTTGTTTCACTTTCCTAATGATGCTTTTTAACAATCCATAAGGATACAACCTTAAAACCATTTACTAGGTGCAATGCCTCACTGTGTAATATAGGATTTATTTCTGAGAAGTTACTCATAAAATGGCTCTATTAAAGAGTTCCTGCAAGAAACTCCCCAAGCTTACACAGCTAGAAAAGAATATTGTTTATCGAAAGAGTAATATAAATTTCTGTATGACTCCAAAATCAATATCTTTTGTCTGGTTTGATAGTCCACTTGAAGTTAGTTCAGTATTCATTGTGCAGCAAATTCTACTGGTCTGCACCATGAACTTAGATTTTTTTTTCTAATGAATTCACTGAATTTATTGTTTCAACAACATAGTTAATATTGAAATACATATATCTACAAATTTGAATATATTTCAGTTTAGTAAAACTGACTTCAGAAATGTATTTTTAAAGAGTGCAGCATTCACAATCAGTTTCCATTGAGTTTAATGGGATTTATTCTTCAGTCAGTACAATCAGGATGTAGCCTTAAAACTACAATTTTAACTGATATTTTATTCATTATATACACAGGGAACATTCCTATTCTTTAACAGAATGGATCTCATTTCATTTTTAAAAAACTAAACTTTATAGATTTGTATAAATTCTTTACCAATAGAAATTGAGTGAAACTGAGTTTTGTTTCTTGTATTCATATATTCTTTTCAAGACGAATTAGTTTGTCTGTGTGGTTGGTTCAGATACTGTATTTGAACAAGGTAATACATTTCTGAAGGCAGAATTCTATCCAGTGTGTTTTTTCCTCAGATGCCAGATATCACACAACCATAATATCCAAAAATTAACATTTGTCAATCTCAAAATTTCTGCTATTTAAAAAAATAAATCAGGGGTAGTCAACCTTGGCTCTTTTATGACTCGTGGACTTCAACTCCCAGAATTCCTGAGCCAGCTAAGCTGGCTCAGGAATTCTGGGAATTGAAGTCCACGAGTCATAAAAGAGCCCAAGGTTGACTACCCCTGAAATAAATGTTTACTTTAAAAAAAAAAAAGGTTTTGCACTGAGTTGCTTTTTCTGCCCAACAGTTTGTTGGGGTTCCACAACCCATTGGACAGGCACAGTCTGTTTTGTGAAAGGAGGATTCCCTAAAAATGATTCCCAAAGGTTTTCTTCAAGTCTGCTGATCGCTCCCTCTTGGGAAGTGCGGTTTTTATTAAATAAGAATCAGCCTGTGGAATGCACTTGTAAAATATGGAAATCATCTTTTGCTTTCTTTGCATGTGAAATGGCTTCCTATGTTGCTGCAATAAGAGATAAGCCACTGGAAACTGGTTAAATTAAAAAAAATGTATCCAATGTAAGATGGTCTTATAGGTCTTAGAGAAGGAGAGAATTCAACCTTGAGGTCTGTTTGATACTTTTGTACCATGGATATATTTTTTTGTTTTGTTTGTAAAGGCTTAATCTAAATAATGACCATAGCATATTTCAGTTGGCTATTCTTGTACATAATGTCTGTTGAGTATAATATGAGAAGAAGTATAATACATATGTTTATGTTTTGGGAATGAATAATGCATACATGGAAAGGGAATTAGACATCTGCTTATTTTACCTTTTCTCTTTCCTTTTTAAATCCATAGTTTTGTCTATGGCTGTTGTATATGATCCCGTGTTATAGTGAATTTAAACTACTTCAGTAGTCCACAGTGGACTTACAGTTATTGCCATATTTTTCTCATCTGGTATGGGAATGCAGCCTGTTTGATTTCAAAATGTAGTATTGATTTTAGGATTCTTAGCTTTCATTTTATATAACGACTTTGCTGTTCAAATACTAGTTTTGTAGTCAAGGAATGGGCTGGATATGCTGGCAATTTTTTAATGGAATTTGAAATAAAATAAAAAAAAACCTATGTGCTTTGCAATTCTTTTAACTCATAGGGTTAGTATGCACATTAAATTCAACTTGCTGTCAAAATTGCTGCCAATTATTAGTAAGCTTTGTAAGTTGGTAACCCTCAGTGGTAAGCTGCCAATGAAAGTTTTGTAATGAGATATAACCTACATGCTAGATTGTGATGATTCAGACATCACTGGCATAAAGCAGGGGTCCCGAGCCACCCCCCCAGGCCATGGCCCACTACCGGGCTCTGGCCTATTTGGAATTGGGCCACGCAAGTGGCTGTTCAGAGCATGCATGTGCGCAACTCAATGGCAACCTAGAATGAGAGTTCTGCTTTATTTGTCTCTGTCAGAACCATGACACTCAACTTGCACAGGTGGTGGGCCAATGGGCACTCGCCCATATGCATGCTGGCTCACCACTCACGGAAGTCAAGCTGTGCACGTTTGCCCTGGCCTGCCACTTGTGCAAGGGCTGCATTTGCACACGTGTGTACGGGCTCACATAGCCCACGTCCCCTCTCCCCCCCGCAGCCAGGCCGCCAAGCCGCATAGGTTGGGGACCACTGGCATACAGTAAATGCAATGCAAACGTGTTTCAAATAAATGAATTTAGGACAGTAGCCTTAACCAGGTTTTGCCTTTATCACATAGATTTGTGTTCTGTTATCGAAAGAAGACTTTTTTTTTATAAGAGACAAACTATATTGAACACCTGGTTAATGAATAATGAAAGGGTTGAGACATGGAGTTAAGTTCACAGTGATAAACTTCTGATGACAAAGTGGGTGCTGGGACAGGAGAATCTCACATGAATAGTATGATGTGATGCATATTTACTTGAAGCTAAACCCTACTGGGGGTACCCAGTGAGGAGTAAATACAATGAACTTAGTTACAGTATGTGAAAAGGAATAGAAGACTTCCAAGGTCCCTTCCAGGCCTACGATTCTCTGGTTCTACCACTCAAAAATACTCTATTATCTAGAAGTATAACAGAGGGAGAAGCTCTGCATCAGAGGATAAAGGACTGTTAATCTGAATTGGGAGAGGGAAAGGTGTAATTTTTTTCTATCATAGATAAAAATGCAGAGAGGAACATAGTTATGAATATAATTAAACAGAAATGGTTACACACAACTCTGTGGTTACAAATATGCTGTATCATTGGCACAGTCACTTTGTAGGTAGCTACAAACAGACTTTCAATTGGATCTCATCTTAGTTTTCTGAAATCAGTGGGTGTGCTGTAAGCATAAAGTTTGTATTGTGCTTACTGATTTACAATTGTTTTCAACCCTGGGGATCATAAATTGAAAGGTTCCTTGTGTTAGTTAATCATCAAAATCAGGATTTACTGGACATACCGACTCCTGAGCCTTTTATATCAGTCACAGTTGTTAATGCTCACACATCAAAAGCCAACAAAACAGTAAAGTGAGATGCGGATAAAAGTACAAATTATTTTTATTTACTTAATTATTTCTATTCCACCTTTATTATTTTTTAACAAATACTCAAGGTCGTGAACATATCCCACAGACCTTCCTCTTATTTTTCCCACAATAACAACCCTTTGAGGTGAGTTGGTTTAAGAGAGAATGACTGGCCCAAAGTCACCCCGCTGGCATCCATGGCTAAAGCGGGACTTGAATTCAAGGTTCCTTGTTTTCTAGCCTGGCGCCTTAACCACTAGATCAGGGGTGTCAAACTGCCAGCCAGTGGGCCGCACCCTACACGAAACCGCGCTCACCCTATTGCCGGCAATGGGGGGAAAGTTCCAATATGTCGCGCGACGTCACGTGATGTCGCGAGTTTGACATGTCTGCACTAGATCAATTATAACGCATAATTCTATCGAAAACTGTCTATATAGTCTCAATTCTAATTGTAATCTCTATACTGATCACATTGGTGTTTCTTATTTTACACCACTAGATGGAGCCATTATCACACTTGTGAAAATATTGTTACTGCATGCTGACTTGAAAGCCTCTTGTATTTCAGCTTTCGGTGTACAGCTGTAAGAAATGTGAAAAGAAATTAAAGGACTAAACTAACACCTTGTTTTGTTTCACCAACCTTTGTCAGGGAGAGAGAACAACAGTTCCTTGAAAAAACAGAAGACTCCAAGCTTTTAACTGGCATCCGAAACCAGCAAGTAGTCCTCGACAGTCATTCATTTAGTGACTGTTCAAAGCTACAACAGCACTGAAAAAGTGACTTATGACCATTTTTCACTCTTGCAACTGTTGCAACCTCCCCGTGGTCACATGATCAAAATTTGGATGGTTGGCTGCTGGTTCATATTTATGACGGTTGCATTTTCCTGGGGTCATGTCACCCCTTTTGTGACCATCTGACAAGCAAAGTCAATGGGAAAGCCAGATTAGCAACCACGTTATTAACAACTGCAGTGATTCACTTAACAACTGTGGCAAGAAAGGTCATAAAATGGGGCAAAACTCACTTAACAGCTGTCTTGCTTAGGAACAGAAATTTTGGACTCAGTTGTGGTCATAAGTTGAGGACTACCTGTATCTACATATTGAAGCCAGGCAATTTTAAACTGTTGCTTATACATTTTAAAACACTATCACAGTGGTCTAACACAGAGTTCCCCAACCTTTCTGGCTTGGCGGCCCGGAAGGAAAGGGAGCAGCAGGAAAATGTGCATTCATGCGGCCGGCATGCGCATGCGCAAATGGGTGCATGCCCACTAGTGGCGCTTGGAGGCACGCACATGTGCAGGTGGGCTGTGCGCTCCTATGGCGCACACTGATGCCCTCTCACATGCACAAATGGGCTGCACGCACCCATGGCACACCACTGGCAGGCACACATATGCGCAAACGAGCCGCTGGCAGCGGTGCTAGTGTCCCCATGCATGTGCACATGGGGCCGCTAGTGCCTGTGCGACGGTGCTACCGCAAGTGGGCTGGGGCTTGCCAGCTATTCCCGGGGCCCAGTGGCCAAATAGGTCACAGCTCAGTACCAGGCCGTGGACCATAGGTTGGGGACCCCTGGTCTAATATATTGGAAGAGAGACAGTTTGGTGCAATGGTTAAAGCACCAGCCTCGAACTACAGTATGAGCTCTAGTTCTAGTTATTGCAAAGAAAACTGAAAGGACTTGTCCAAGCAGAAATCAATACTGACTCAATGGAACACACACAAACAAATAGCTTATCAAGGATGATGTTTCACTAAATTTTGGAAGTTAGTTTGGTGTAGAAGTATCAGTTAAAGCATCAGACTAGAAGCAAAGAAACTCTGGACTCTAATCCCATTTTAGGACCAGGCCAGCTGGGTGACCTTGGGCCAGTCATTCTCTCAGTATACTTAGTTTTAAAGGAGGTCTGGAGAAATTCATGGAGCACAGAACTATCAGTGACTGCTGGTCCTGATAATTGTTTAACATTTCCTGAATCAGAGGCAGGATACCTTAAATGCCAGATGCTGGGAAGTAATCAGCAACAAGGGATAGACTTTCCTTATCTGTGTTTATGAATTCTCTGAATGCAGCTATGAGGCTACTTGTTGACACAAACAGAAATAGATGTGTGCTTTGTCTGACCCAGCACATTGTTTTTACCTTTGCTCCTTTCTTATTGTCCACAACAAGGAAAAGATGTCCTTTTCTTACTTCTAAGAAATCTGCATACATAGCTCAGCACTACATGTGGTCTTTATCCTGCAGAATTTTCACAGTCAGTGACTGCTGAATATTGATTGCAAGGTTCCCCAACGTTATCATCTGGGCCTAAAAATATAAAAATGAACCTAAAAGCAACCCTCCAAACCCAAAGAGAAAAAAAATGAATGTGGCTCCATATTTCCTTCATCTAGTGCAGCCTGTGGCCCTCCAGGAAATGTGAAATGTGCACAACTGGCAAACAAATGAAACGGATAGTTCAACCATTTGGAAACATATTATATCAAACAGCACAAAGAAGTCCAAAATAACCA